TGAGGTCAAATTTTGATGTTGGTTGTTAAGGCCTAAAAAGGTGTCTATCTGATGCAGTTTGTCACGGCGAATCGAATGGTGCTATTTTTGGTTCCGTACGAGGTCTAGAACTCCAAAAAAAAATCATTTTTCAAAATTTTTGTCTGTCGTAACGTCATAAAATTTTGAATAACTTCCACATTTTTGAACCGATTCTTCTAAAAATTGGTATGTAGGTGCACATAGACCACTTCTTTGACATATATTCCGTTTTTTATACACTCAAAATTTTGGATTTTATAAATATTTTCCCAAAAAAATCAGTTTTTTTGAAAAAATGTGGGCCAAAATCCAAAATTTTTAAAAACCGAGATAGCCATTTGATGGACAAAGTAGAATCACGTATAACCTTTTTGTTACGTCTTGATTCCTTTAAAAATGAAGATGTTAGCGGCGTTTGAAATTTTGCCATTTTTGAGGCGAAAATGCGAACATGACGTCACTAAAACGTCAATTTCTCAAAAAATTTCCGACGGATTTCGCTCAAGTTTTCAGGGAACGTGTCAAATTGATGTATGATAAGGTACTGAAAGTTTGACGTCGCTGGCGTAACGCGTTTAGAAGTTATTGGCGAAAAACGGGAGGGGGGACAGATTCTGCCCCCCCCCCAGCGGGGCGCGGAGAACTATGCAAAGTTAGCCCTTTTACTGGCAAGGGCGATAATGTTCCCCTGAATGTCTTTTTTCGTCAGTGTAGGTACGGGCCCCTCAGACCTTCTGGGGTCAAACTCCGGCTTCTAACACGAATTATTGAAAAAAACACTTTTTATAACATTAGGTATACAATAACATTGAAAGCCTCGATATCTTGACATAGCCCTAAATGCGCCCATGCCATGGAGCATTTTGTGTGGGCGCAATTCGGAATGTGTCATATGGCAGGAAAATATTGATCCTAATGCTGCACAATAGGCATGTGCCATGTACAGTCTTTTTTTGTCTCTCCATACCCGGCACATATACCATAATACTACTAAAACCACTTTTTAGCCACCTCCCTCACGAACAGCAGTACCTAACAGTTCAATGAGTAAGCAGGCTCAGGATAAGAAAACACTACATTACAAAACCACTCCAAGTACGCGGCTTACAGCCTTACGCTGGATGGGGTGCGGGTTAAATCAGTTCTCAGTATTAGGTAATATGCCGCTATGCTTACCGAAAAATGAATGAAAATTAGCAATCATTTTCGAGAGACACGAGACAAGTGGCCGCCATCAATTGTTTTTATTTGTAAAAGGGTTTCTCAGTCACCGATTACATTATTACGTGGGCATCAGCAGGCAACAGGCTCAGAACAGCTAGGTACGCATACCATCACTTCTCGCAATGTTACACACTCAAAGCAGGTGTTCAGGTTATACAGGCGATCAGAAACAAACGGTTCACACAAGGAGTTTTATGGACAAGGAACATCTCATCTACATTCATTGCGCGGCCCACCGAGGTTATACATACGCTACACGGTTTGGTCGATTAACCCGCGCCCTGCTGGGGGGGTGTTTGAACACCCCCCCTTGTGGTTTTTCGCGAATATCTCAAAAACGGCGGCGCGGAGCGCCGCCGTTTTTGGTACACCTTATCATACATCAATTCTACACATGTTGTGAAAATTTCAGACCAAGGTCATTCAAGGTCAGGTCACCAGGTCACTTGAAGTGACCTCACCTCATAAAAAGTTTCAATGTCTGTCATAGCTACACCAAGTGACCGATCGCTTTGAAACTTTCAGCGATTGCTAAGAGCAATAGCATGTACAAAATGTATATCTCAGAATTTTGATATCGATGACCTAAGGTCAGGTCAATTTTGCGACCTCCCCATTATAAGTCAATGGGAGAAAATTGAAATGCGCCTCTTTTGGACGAAGGACATTATAAACACTCCCAAACACCGAATTACAAGTGGTTTAGACACACAGAACATGAAAATGGTGTCCGGGACCCTTGTTTATGCCCTGAGGTCATCTTAGGTCACGAATGTTATCTAACAGTTTTTCGCAAATAACTTTTGATAGAGGCGTGCTAGAGCGATGAAAACGCCTTAGATGTGTTCAGCTCGACGATACGGATTGACTGATATGCAACATGACCCTTTCCGGTCAGGTCATGACCTTGACCTGAGGTCAAATTTTCAAGTTGACCTTTCAAGGTCAAGTTATAGTTCATTCGATGCGTCTTGACGAGAGGAACACGATGCCGGTAAAAGTAAGCTCGTACAAGGCTTGGGTCAAAAGTTATTGCAGAAAAACTGTTTCCGAAAAAATCGGCTATTTTTGCAGTTTTTGCCCCCTGCAGGCAAAACCGTTGACGTTAGGTCAAATCTGAGAGAATTACTCAGAAAGGGCGTTAATAGGGCTATCGAATGCGCTTTTCCGCGGCGCTGTAGCTCTATTGGTTCCCGAGTTATGCGTTGGCTTCTTGGAAATTTTCGACATTCGACCTGGAAATCGGCGAAATTTTGCCTTCAATGACCTCTGGTGACCTGAACTTTGACCTGACCTAAAAATTGACCGAGTGATTTCGTCATTATTTTTGACGATCTTTCGAACGCCGCCTTCCGCGTATCGCTACGTGGCCCAGGAGCCGAGTTACAAGGGGGGGTGTTCAAACACCCCCCCCAGCAGGGCGTGGAAATCCAGGACCCCCAGCCGGGCGCGGGTTAAATGATAACAATAACAGGTCAAATGTATATTTAAACATTCAAAGCTTTCGGTATGAAAATACCTTGATCACTGTGATAAACAGAAATGAGGACAGAAGGGTTCTATTGTTTCAGAAGGGTTCTAATGTAACTATTGTTACATTAATGGGAACAAAATGGTCCGGCTTGTCGCAGATGTCCAACCGCTACAACTCAAAAGAACTAACGATTTACATAGTTTGGGATTTGTGACGTAGTTTTGATTAGAGATGTCAATCGGATACCAACTTTTTGGTATACCGATACCAAACCGATACCAACTCGGTATTTGGTATTTCAATCCTAATGTGTTTGGTATTTTGTTGGTATCATGAACCCTCGCTAATGTTTAAGAGGCTAAGAAATCGGTAAAAAGTTGGTTTTCCTCATGTTCCCAAGTTGGTTTGGTTTCGGCATTTTCCCGTGGTTTTGGTTGGTATTTGGTTTGGTATCGGTATTCCGATTTTCCGTAATTGACATCACTAGTTTTGATGTAGCAGGTACCGAAGCGATATTATGCGACCCAAGGTAATGCAAGCAAACAAAATATGACACTGCAAAACGGAGGAAAAACAACCGTACCGTAAATCTAGTCCATATTTTCTAAAATGATTTAAGAAGATATCATTGGTCTCGGCTTCCGTCCAACGAGTTTCATCGGTCATTTATAGTTTATCACTCTCACATAATCGGTAACACCGCAGGTGCACGCTAAGGGTGCTGCACGAGACATCTCCCTAAGCGTATGGACCCCAAGCGAGACATGCACACAGGCGCAAACGCTGTCTCTGCATTCAGCGGTAAGACGACAGCTTGTGGTCAGCTGTCCGACTGCGAAATTTGGCCAGATAGGTTTGAGATTAGTTGGAGAGAAAATATGTCTTCCGCAATATGTACGTCCTGGGGGCTGGGTATGATATTTGCCGCACCGATTCTAATAAAATATTTTACGCAAGAATGTCGTATGACTGCCAGGTTGACAAAGTTATTTCAATAACGGTGACGGTTTCTGGCTCAACCTTACACCTCTTATTGAGACATATACACACAGACACGCACACAAACAGCGCACGGTCAGTGAAAGGTGACACGAACACAAACAGCGCACGGTCAGTGAAAGGTGACACGAACACATAGTCGGTGGGCACTTGTTAGGAAACATTGGACACCAAGCTATCGACATTTGACATCAACCTATCGACACATTCAGGATTCAGACTCACATGGTGTTGCCCCGTTTACACTAGTCGGGGGCGACTATAGGCAAGGTATTAGTTATCAGACATTGCAGGCTCCACAACGCGCATGACTTACTTCAATTACATCAAAGAACAGTTTTCGAAACTAATAGCGGTACAAGTAATGGGACATTCGGGACACAGCGGGACTTCATCTAGACATTTAGTCTTTCGACATTTAATATCGATATTGCTTTTTCGAGTTATGCCAGGAGAATAAATTGTGCCGTGCCAATGCATGATAAAAGACATTTGTGCTCGATCATAACTCATTTTACCGTTTTAAAATTCGTGGAAATAGTGCTCACGTAACTGTCCTTGCAGCATATCAAGCTGCAAATATCTAGGCAATTCATTTCACTCACACACAATCACCCTTCACACCAATATATGTAAAGCTACAGGGAGCATATCACAGAAGGTTCGACACTCTTAAGTCGACAGTACACACATCTTCCATCCTCTTCTTGCACTACGGGGTGCCGAGCTTTTATTGTAGTGCTCGCTGAAAGGAATCAAGCACGCGCCAAAAGCCAGCTCGTAACACCAGTGGTGACATTAAATTGGAAACATCTACACCCATACGAGTGTGAAGTCGGTAGCACCACCGATTGGTGACATGTTACACAGGTAACACATAACCTAGCGGTTTTATAGTGATGCTAACTGACACAATCCTTGGCTGATGGTAACATTAGGCAACAATGAGATCCATCTACTCTACAGACATATACCTAGAATGAGGAACACACCACTGAAAGGCAGGGAGGGCTGCAGCGCAGTGTCCAGGGTCAATAACAGTCGCATTTGAATCGTAACTAGGTTCAGTTTTAGCTCTGTAGAGTATAGGATCCCCTCATTATCAGCTTTGGCATACGTGTGGTGACGGCAAAATTGTAACCGTTGTTTTGTTTCCGGCGCACGTAAACTAACTAGCATTCGGTTACGTGTTTAAATGAACTGTTTACACGTAAAGAAGAACTAAAAAGAGAAAACATACTCAAACTAAAAGGAAGTAAGAAATGATAAAAAAACTCATAGCACAAAGCAGCTCCGAAAATGACTGCTAATATCAATTACAACATTACACATTGATATTATTGCACGACGTAAGAGAGCTACTTAGCTTTGTAAAACATGTCACAATAAAACGATGGCATACGCAGTCAAGGAGCAACTAAGTTCAAATAAAAGTAACGACGCATCACGCAGACATAGTTGACGAGCTAGTTTTGCGTTTTCATCCATATGGCTCACGTAAGATTTTTCATCGTAAGTTATGTGTATCATTTGACTAGAATCAATTCCAAACTTTGACAGCAGCGGCGACTGTCAAACTATAGCTGTGAAAAGAACAGAGTGTTCTTCCTCAAATACCGACACGCAAATTCTCCAGTGTTATTAGTTCCCTTTCCGCAGAAATCGCAACACCCAACCCACCAAAACACACCTCTCTCTGCCCCATTAGCCGGCGTGGGATTCAGGCACTAGTCCCGCGCTACCTCACGGCTCACCACAACTCCCCACACCCATCCACTATTGCTACTCCTCTTCAATCTCCTCCGCTTCCCTCAGCTCCTCCTCCGCCACTCCTCGCTGCTCCAGTCGCTGTCACAGGATGCTGCAGAACTTGGACGTGCTGCCCTGCTGGCCTCCGGGCCTCTGCAGAAGCTGCATCAGGTCACGGAGGGCGTCAGCTGTGGGCCCACAGCCTGCGGTGGATCTCCGCAGTCGCAGTAGAGACTCGGGCACGGCCGAGGAGGGCCCCGCGCCGCCGGCCGGCTCCTCGGCGCGACGGGGCATTGTGAGAACCAGAGCGGTACTGGTGCGGTTCAGCTCCCGCTAGAAAGATATGGAATTAGAGGGTCAGTATTGTTAGGTACCAGGACCGTATTATGCAGTTCGGCTCATCCCAAAAAGAGTCTGTTTCGTTATTGGACGGGACGTCAGAGCTCTGTAAAGACGGTGAAAAACCGGAGGGGATAGCGGCAAGTAACTCCTCCCTGCTTTGAAAAGGCACGACAAATTTAACCAAGAAGCTGACATACAGCGCAATACGGGCCGCAGCGTTAATACTTTTATTAGTTTAAACAACTACACTGAGTGGCTGCAACGAGATGCGTGGTGTAGTTCAGTTTACCAATCCCTTTTGAGACGGTTTTTCATACACCATTCGCCAGCCTCAATAAACTGCCTCGCCGTACCTTTTTGGGCGTTGATACGGGCGGCGGCGGCGGCGCCACGCGGGACGAGCCGTTCTCCGGTGCTGGGGGCGCCGCCAGCTGCTCACGGGAGTCGGTCCGACGGGACACACCGGCGGGCATCTGTAGGGGGTGGAGGGAGAACGTCAATAGGAGACGGTCCATACGACACACACTTTTTCCAATTCTATTCCAAAGAAGTGCGCCAGTGCTGCCGGCATCTGGCACCATAATTGGACGACTAAATGAGTGGTATGTGTTTTGACGTATCACATCGATTACCTGGCATCGCTCACCTTACGTCAAGTCATAAAACTCTTAGAACAACATTGAAACCGTCTCTAACGATCATACTAAGTATCCTCAGATATGACCACCTGCATAGACGACTACGATGCAAGAAAACCACGTAGCGACATGAGCAAGTAATTATCAGCCGGCCTCTCGGTAGCCCGAAACTGAACCTCACCTGACTGGGGTGAATGGTGCCTCCTTCGGGACACATTCGTACCTCCTCCTCCCCAATTTTCCTCCTGGGTTTCTCCCCATTCACCGGAGACACTGAAACACAAGTAAGAACAGCTGCCCTGACGAGCGTCAGAATCTGGCCGATTGGACAATGAAACGCAGATAAAATGTATGCGAGGATGCGTGAAAATATGTACAGCATGTGCATTGTGCAATGTGAATACAAGGCGTGAAGATAAAGCTAAGTCAAGCATACAAAGCATGGTGGTAGGGTAAGGTGCCTAATTAGCGACCCCCTTAATTTGAACCGTCATTGCTCACGCTCTGTGGGTGCCACTGTATTACTGGCTTGATTTTCGGAGAGGTCGTTCATTTTTCTTTTAAAATATAGTCATTTTCTGCCCCAATATTCACTAATTTATTTGTAGTGAGCATTTTAGCAAACCATTGCAAAAAAACGCTAATAGGGAACTCTTCCCGATTAGCGACCGGGGAGGGTCGCTAATAAGTCCATGGGTTTCCCCATATTAAAAATGGCAAAAAATGCGACGCCTGAAAAGATGAAATATTATCCAAAAAAGGTAACCTATACGCAAAGCACTCAATCACTCGAACAGGAACGTTTATCCAACACATTTATGTAAGTAAAAACTGATCACGTGATACACTGAAGGCGAAAAGAAGGCGGAAACCCAGATTTTGCGGGCTCTCTCGTATGATATTCGAGGTCCGCGCTGAATTCGGCACCCCTGCAGTCGGTGACGACATTTGACATCCCCTGCCACACATTGCAAGCTTCAGCAACACCTCATTTTCATTTCTCTCTTTTCCCCTTTCTTTCCCTTCTTGAGCTATTTGCGACCATGTCAGGCGCAAATAGGAAATATGAGTTGCGACACATTTTTAACCGCCATGCTGTGCACAGTTAAGCGATTCACTATGGGGAAAACGGCAATCAATTGAAAAAGGAATGTCGATTCAGAATAAAAAAGGTGCATCATCCTAATGTGCATCGCTTTTCATCATAGAGGGCCCAAACACACACGTTTTGGATAAGAAACTCGTCATTTTCATTTAAACTCACCTGAAACGTCCCACCAGAAACATCGACAACCGTAAAGTAATTAAATTTGATAACCAAAGTATGGCTAACCTTTTGACGATGTTTTTACCCTGTTTTCTCCCGCCAGTTTTTCTGTAGGGAGGTAGGTCGCAAATCGGAAAGGGTCGCTAATTAGGCACCTTACCCTACACGGATAAATAATATCATCGGCAGAACGGGAAAGTACAAGCGTTTATATACAGCATTGGGTGGGAAGAATATAATAAGCCTTTAGGTGCAAGACGATAACTGCAGACACATGAGCAAACAAATATGCATAATATTTGGCTTTTGCATTTAGCTAAGCAGTTGTAATCTGTTTATGCAATCCCATTGCTCGTGTATCTTTGATAAATTTCGCAACGTGCAAAAGCTTCGATATCCAAGAATAGTGCATACTAAATTCTAGTTGCTAGAAGTATGTTTACAAGCTCATTACGAGCTGACAGTCACTCTGGTTAACTCACGTGGCGCCATTTTGCTGAGCAGTCCGCCGTACTTTCTCTGCCAGGTGTAAGTGTCCAGGGAGATGCCCTTTTTGAGTGCGCGCCGGTGCGGCGGCGGCCGGCGGCTGGCGGCCGGGGAAGCGGTGGCCTCGGCGCCCCGTCGGCCCTCTGAGGTCAGCGATGGGGCAGGGGTTAGTACTGTAGAACAATGAAATAATCGGCTCAGTGCATAGGGAGAAATGGGTGAAACAGTCTCTGAAAGGACTAGCAAGAGAGATGGCAAAAATAAAACATAATTTGAAACATTTAATAAGGGCTTATTTAACCCGCGCCCTGCTGGGGGGGGGTGTTTGAACACCCCCCCCTTGTGGTTTTTCGCGAATATCTCAAAAACGGCGGCGCGGAGCGCCCGCCGTTTTTGGTACACCTTATCATACATCAATTCTACACATGTTGTGAAAATTTCAGACCAAGGTCATTCAAGGTCAGGTCACCAGGTTACTTGAACTGACCTCACCTCATAAAAACTTTCAATGTCTGTCATAGCTACACCGAGTGACCGATCGCTTTGAAACTTTCAGCGATTGCTAAGAGCAATAGCATGTACAAAATGTATATCTCAGAATTTTGATATCGATGACCTAAGGTCAGGTCAATTTTGCGACCTCCCCATTATAAGTCAATGGGAGAAAATTGAAATGCGCCTCTTTTGGATGAAAGACATTATAAACACTCCCAAACACCGAATTACAAGTGGTTTAGACACACTGAGCTTGAAAATGGTGTCCGTGACCCTTGTTTATGCCCTGAGGTCATCTTAGGTCACGAATGGTATCTATCAGTTTTTCGCAAATAACTTTTGATAGAGGCATGCTAGAGCGATGAAAACGCCTTAGATGTGTTCAGCTCGACGATACGGATCGACTGATATGCAACATGACCCTTTCCGGTCAGGTCATGACCTTGACCTGAGGTCAAATTTTCAAGTTGACCTTTCAAGGTCAAGTTATAGTTCATTCGATGCGTCTTGACGAGAGGAACACGATGCCGGTAAAAGTAAGCTCGTACAAGGCTTGGGTCAAAAGTTATTGCAGAAAAACTGTTTTCGAAAAAATCGGCTATTTTTGCAGTTTTTGCCCCCTGCAGGCAAAACCGTTGACGTTAGGTCAAATCTGAGAGAATTACTCAGAAAGGGCGTTAATAGGGCTATCGAATGCGCTTTTCCGCGGCGCTGTAGCTCTATTGGTTCCCGAGTTATGCGTTGGCTTCTTGGAAATTTTCGACATTCGACCTGGAAATCGGCGAAATTTTGCCTTCAATGACCTCTGGTGACCTGACCTTTGACCTGACCAAAAAATTGACCGAAGTGATTTCGTCATTATTTTTGACGCTCTTTCGAACGCCGCCTTCCGCGTATCGCTACGTGGCCCAGCAGCCGAGTTACAAGGGGGGTGTTCAAACACCCCCCCCCCAGCAGGGCGTGGAAATCCAGGACCCCCAGCAGGGCGCGGGTTAATAAGGCTCTATTCGGACGAATGCTAGCGAAACAGCATCTGTAGGATTAGTCCTGTTTGTAATACTGAATTGTTTAAGAAACACAAGTTTTTTTTATCCAAAGACTGTTTGGCAAATAACTGGGAAATTGCCAACGATAGGGAAGCTGAGCCGTTTGCACACTGGCATGTGATAGGCTGGACTGCCAGCTATATTCTCACCTGTGATTGGCTGAACCACGGCTCTTGGCCGGGCCCGCGGAGCCAGCGGAGGTACGTTGAGGAAACTCAGCAGGGCAAAGTACATGCTATTCTGCAGCCTGGAAACGAAATTAGAAAACGGTGGCCACCACTTTTCGTAAATATTTCACACGCTGAGTCAGAATCTTTGTTTCTCTGCATTTGGCACAACTTTTTTTAAACCAAATTCTTTCAAACCACATTCATCAAATTTATAGCATGGGAAACGATTTCTCTACGACACAAAACCACGAACTGTGCATAAATAAAGGCATATGACATAATTATTTTAAAAAAGTTGCTTCAAGTGATTTTAAATAAAACCACAAACCCTTAATTCAAATACTATCTGCGTGCAAGTTTATAGTGCCACATAACCAAAACTCTGACCCACGGACCTGGCGACAATTTTGCCGGCGTCTGCGGAGATACAGAGGCCCGCCACGGCCTTGTGGAGAGCAATGGACGTCACGCAGTAGCCAGAGACCGTCTTGTGGACGTACACCCAGCCCGTCACGGAACCTGCCCGAAAAAAAAACATACGCTATGACTAAGCTTGTTGGGAGATATACACTTAGGCCAAGTAAGCCACTGAGCCTGTCCGAAACACAAACCAGACACGGGAGAGAAAAAGGAAAATATCAATTAAGCCGGCATGGCGTCTAAATGCAGACGTTTACGCACACGATTGAAATAATTGTAAAGACTAAAGGTCAATTACCACTAGTCAATATGAATATACCGATCCCGAGGAATATAAGGCAGGAAATGACGCAAAGAACCTAGTGGTCGCCACGGTTGGCACACATACCTGATATAATCATCCCGGCGTCCGCCGTCATGCTGACTGCTGTCACTGGTGCCGTGTGGTCCCGAATCACCTGACGGGTCTGACCTGACGGTCACACGTCAGGCCACAGGTCAGGTCAGGTCGCAAGTAGGTCACAGGGCAAGGTTACAGCTTACAGGGTAAGATCACATAGTGAGGTCGCCGTTCAGGTCGAAGAAAAGCAGAACTGCCGGTCAAAGGTTAAGTCACAAATCAAATCACAGACCAAAGGCCAGGTCACAGATCAGGTCAGAGTGAAGTCACAGGTCAGAACACAGGTTAGGTGACTGAGTGAGGTCACAGGGTAGGGTCACAGGTCAGGTCACTGAAATTGTGCAAAATGTACCCAGAAATTGAGATAATATGCCAACTAAGCCCGATAACTTGACTAGGAAGTCCCCATTACCTTATTTTCAGCATGGCAAACACTATTGACTATCACCCCTGACGCGAATTAAAGTGGCCAGTTACCTGTGCCTACGTCCCAGGCCATGACTAGGCAGTCGTCTCCGCCTGACGCGGCCGTGTGACTAACATAGGCAGGGTAGGCAACGCAGGTCACCGCTGCCTCGTGGCCCACCAGCACCTGTGGCAGTCAGCCAGTCGGGGCATGACACAGTCAGTTTATAGTATTGACACTGACAAGTGCTACAATAAGGCAGCTGCACCGCACTGCATGCTACATAAGGCATGATGCATAACTGATTCACGTCGCGTATTCAGTTATAAACATGATAATTATTGGTTATACATATGATTCATAATTTACCATATTTATGGTCAGTAGTCTGAACGAAATTCGTAGACACATGTATCTTGATGTGTCATCCTAAATGGTGGCTCAACTCAGCTCCGTCTCGTTGCGATGAACAGTGCAACCAGACGAATTTATGACGTCATTTTGACACCACTCAGACTGACCTGGGTGAGCCGTCCCTCTGCGATGGTCCACACCTTCAGCGAGGCGTCATTGGAGCCCGTGATGACGTGTAGACTGTCACTGCTGACGTCAAAACAGCGTATGGCGTCATTGTGGCTAATGGTGTATTTGGTGTGCTCCTTGCTCAGCGTCCACACATAGAGCCTGGAAGTCAAATGTGAGAGAACGTTAGTTTCAAGATGGGTGGGCACTTGGAACACAGGTGCTTCTAACAAATTTTATTTTATTGCAAAGATGCAAGATGCAAGATGCAAATGTTGCTTTAGGACGGGCAGAGTTAACCTTTTGATTCGTATGATCGGGAGCAAAATACAAGCTGTGTTACTGTGACAAAAAAAAAATGTTCGCTTCACAACCTCTCATCGAACCATTCATATTTCATAACAGTGCCACTAAGCAGAAGATCTCTCAATTATCTACCTAACGTAGCCACGTACAGTTCTTTGAGAATACCTGAGGACCTCTCACCCGTAAGAATAAAAACAGTGCGTCTCATTATAATTTGGAAATATGGGGACGATTTTCACTGTTTTATTATGTGGTGCTGACTCACTGACTGCCCTCGCTGCTGCCGGAGACGGCGTGACTGCGGTCCGGAGTGACTCGGATCATATGACCCGGACCGTGACAGGTCAGCAGCACGATACCCGTCTCCACCTGCCACAGCTGATAAAGGGGGCAGAGGTCACTGACACTGACACACTGACACGCTGACACTGACACATTGAAAGGTCAGGAGCGCGATAGCGGTCTCCACCTGCCACAGCTGATATACAGGGTACAGGTCAGTGACACTAACACTGACACTGACACATTGACACTGACACGCTGACACTGACACAGGGCGGCAGCACGATACTGGTCTCTAGCTGCCTCAGCTGGTATACGGGGCAGAGGTCAGTGATATTGACACTGACGCAGATCAACAGGACTATACTGACCGACATCTACCTGCCACAGCTAATGACACGGGCCACAATATATAAACTCGTCCGCACGCTGTGCTCGTTCGTTTATAAATCGGCGTTATGTAGCTTCATCAGTATTGCCCTCACCTACCCCAGCCGGTATTTCGTTAACATGTTGACATTGTATTATGTTTAGTCTTCAGCGACGATTCAACAGAACGTCGCAATTCGCACATGTGTGGCCCATGTCTTACCATCAGAACTCCGTCGCTGTCCGCAGACAGTGTCTGTTTGCTGTCCGATAACACACTGAGACACACCACCGGCGCCTGGTGGTCCTGAGGAAATGACACAGACGTCATTAAGACATGATAATATCAGTAACACATCACATGACACTTCAGCCATCTGTGAACGCGTTATATGTGAAATCGGCAGCGTTCGACATGAATCTCGAGTCAATATTTGTATTTTCCTTCATCTTCTTCAATAATTTGAATTTATTTCACCTCAGTAGTAAGAGATATTACGGACTCAATTCTTAATATGTTAATCTTTAATCCTTAGCATCATAACACTCCACCCCAGTTTTACCACTGAGGTCACCCGCCCATCGATGACGTCACAGCCTTCTCCACCACTCACCGTGAACGCGGACACCACCATATTGAGAGTCAGTCCCCAGACGCGTATGGAGCTATCTCGTGAGCCGCTGACTGCATACAGTCCGTTCGGGGCGAACTGGACACAGGTCACGGCCCCCGTGTGACCCTCCAGGGTGGCGTGCAGGTCACCAGAGGGCACCAGCCACACCTTGAGGTGCGAGTCGCTGGAACCTGGGGGCGGGGGAGGGAGAGGGGCGGCAAATTTATTAGATATTGTTTCTTTATTTTTGACATTCAGGGTAAGAAAGGCATTCACGGAGCACCTAAGAAAGGTTAGAAGTGAATGCAATTACGCCTGAAAACGTATAAGATAAGCCATCGTTGAAATGTTTCAAAACACAACTCGAATATGAAGCAGATCACACTGATTTGGGCTGTCAGAGTACAGAAGCCCTAAAGGCAGAACAAAAATGCAAGTAACCGTAATAAATGTCATTTTCTCCGCCCAAATGTGTGACTCTAAGCCAGCTCCTATTTTCACAAGCTTCTCCTCGTCTGTCATCCGGCTCAAACAGTCTAATTTCCAACACTTACCCGTGACGACCATGCTCTGGTCGGCCGATATATCCAGACAGGTGATGTCGGCGGTATGTTCCACGGGTATCTTTTTCCGGTCGGACAGGTACACCCTCGGCTTCACGGTCAGCGGCTGGACGTGGGTTACCAGTACCCGGCGGTCGCCTGAAGAGAGGGAGAGATTAATGAAAATGATTCAAAGCCGTTAAAAAGTCAAAATCAAAATTGCAATATCGATAATAAATAACTTTTTATTATCAGTGGTTTTGTCAAAAATGCTTTTAGTACCGGTCTCCACTGCCATGATTGATATTTGATTATCAAACATATCAAAGCTGCACCGATTTTACAACAAGGAATGGTTCAATGGCTGCCACATGGGTATGGAATATCAGGAGCACACTCGGGTACTCGATAGTCGATACAACGTGCAACTCAAAAACATTTCCACGTTTCCGTATACCTGTCATTTCCTCACACTGAATGAAGTGCTCCACCGTATACGATGCTACAAAATCAACATCGTATCGCATACTCCAAATCAACCCCACTTATTCGATAGAAACCGACCGATTTCACCCACCTGCCGTGATGAGCAGCCTGCCGTGCGATGTGAACAGAGCAGCCAGTACCGGACTGCCGTGCTTGGTGAGCGTCTTCAGCAGCTTGGAGGACGGTATGTCGTACACGTACACCTTGGAGTCGCGGCAGCCGACCACGCACAGGTTACCGTCCTCAGATGACGTCACTGAGGTCACCTGACCAATCAGAGAGGGTGTTTGGTGGGATCAGCCAATCAGCGTACTGTTCTTAGATGGGGTCACAGAGGTCACCTGCCAAACAGCCAATCAGTGAAAGTGCTATTCGAGATCAGCCAATCAGCATTAGGGTTTTGCTGTGACACCACTGAGGTCACGTGCCGATCAGACAATGTCAGGCTACCAATCATTGTTGACGGTTTTTACGAGGCGGCTCACGTCAGATGGCAGGCAATAAATCAAAATGAAGGACGCCAGTAAGGGGAACTCAATTATAGAACAACATTTATTTACGATAATCTTAGTTTTTAGTGTTACCATGAAGATAAATGTTATGACGTTTTGGTTTTACGTCTAACAGCAACGCCAACAGCAACACAATTGAAGTTTAATATTGAGCAGCATTCTTTTGCCTTACGAGATAATCGAAAACTTATGATCATTTGTCATAGGATGGCTGAGTTATCACTAACAGCAACATCAATACCGAATCAGCTACTGTTAACGCCAGACCCCTTGAGACCCTAATTTTTCGCGATTACTTTTAAATGCGTGAAGGAATTTCAACCAAGCTCAGGACATGGCCGTTTCAAGACAGGCCGAAACTTTTACAATTTAGATATTTTATCGCCATTTCAACATTTCAGGCACTTGTCATTGACTCGTAATGTTAAATTTCGAGCAAGATTTTCATCCGGTGTGTAGAGGCTATCACCAGTCAGTCTGTGATACGTTATGACGTCACAGCTAAGCCCCGCCTCTGTGGTCTTGGCCTGCGGCGGTTTCGGGCCGGCGCGCGGTCACTCTCGCTGTGGCGGGGAGCGGGGACGGGCGACGGTCGAGCGGTGCCGAAAGCCGGCGGAGTTGTGCGTAGCGTCTTGGCTGACAGTGCCCAGAGAGCGACATGATGACTAAGGAGTCATAAATGCTCAATGCGCATTGCTTCTACAATGCTGATATGTTCGCTGATATATTTTTTTTTTCTTATAAGCTGCAAATGACGGGCAGATGGCATATAACTGACATAAGGTTAGGAAATATTCAGCTGTATTTAAAGCCTATGGCGTTGCAGATAATGCGATAATGGGATGTCGGATGTCACCAAGTAGCTGCCGATTTGTACATCGCTATGCAACCATCGAACAACGCAATAATAAGTTAATTGCCTGAGCTTCACATCATACGGCTCGCTCGTATTTCAAACAGATACCCTACATCGAAAATCGTATTTATTAGGAATCGTTAACGTTTGTTCGAAGCACGACTGAGTAGTAGGTTGAGGAGTGATGGTCCTCTTGGTCCTATATACAAGAGTCAACAAGAGCCTAACATTTACTTGACCGTCTGCTGCAATTGACTCATAGCACGTGAAGCGTCAGCGAAATTCATAGTCCTTCACAGATGGCAGGGGTGTCGTTTGTACAGAGGTCGCTGATGGGCACGAGTCAATGCCGCAGTCGTGGGCGGAGCCTAATGTCATATGACGTAGAAAGCCTCTATCCAGGATGGAAAAACAGTTAACATTACGAGTCAATGACAAGTGCCTGAAATATTGAAATGGCGATAAAATATCTAAATTGTAAAAGTTTCGGCCTGTCTTGAAACGGCCATGTCCTGAGCTTGGTTGAAATTCCTTCACGCATTTAAAAGTAATCGCGAAAAATTAGGGTCTCAAGGGGTCTGGCGTTAACAGTAATCGGCGAAGAGCCAGCCGCTGTAAGTAACTGACTAGAGTTGCAAAGTTTCCCCAAAGGCTGCTACCGGCACAACCCCGCCCCACAAAATTTTTTGGGGATAACGGCATGCTACCACGCCCAAAGCAAAAACACCACCAAATTACCGGCATACTAAAAAACCTGCATTGTTGATTCCAAGTAAATGGCGAAGTACTTGTATGAACAGCATTATGACATATATATGTTTTCAAATATAACCTTATGTTCAATGATTGCGAAATGCAAATGGTTCCAAAATTAATTACAAAATGAATATATTTCGGACACTGTCCTTCTTCAGTTCAGAATTGCAAATTAAATCATTTAGTCACAACAGCGCCAGAATATGTCGATAACAGCTAAGTGCTTAGCTAGCAAACTTAGCTGTTATCGACATATTCTGGCGCTGTTGTGACTAAATGATTTAATTTGCAATTCTGAACTGAAGAAGGACAGTGTCCGAAATATATTCATTTTGTAATTAATTTTGGAACCATTTGCATTTCGCAATCATTGAACATAAGGTTATATTTGAAAACATATATTGTTGATTCCAGTTTACCCCTACAAGAGATGCCACATTTTCCTCTTAGTGTCCAAAGTTTGAATCATATGCTAATAATTTTTTTGTGCAAAACCAAAAATACCGGCATGTTACCGGCAAGACATGCCAGATACCACAAAAAAACCTGCGGTAGTGAAAAATTACCGGCATGCCGGTAATGCGGTAGGGAAACTTTGCAACTCTATAACTGACCAAACACCGCACGGCATTACCGACCTGACTCTGGTGGTTTTTCAGCGTATGTAACGGACTGCCAGTGGTAAAGCTGTGCACATAAACCGTCATATCCAGACAGGCGGTAAGCAGAAACGTCTGAAAAAGAGAGACTCTGGTTTGGTTAACCCAGATATATGTACAGAAACATTCGTTTTCAAAGAGTGACGTGAGTTGATGCACTGCATTACACAGGTCAGAAAAAAAAACTATAAAAAAACAGGGGAGCAATACAAAAAGCTAAATAACAAAAAGCTGGTCCTATCCAAGGCGTTTCAATTTTCACATAACTCCAAAAACATTTTGGCACCCTGATCCTAGCTGTAATACGTTTATAACTGTGATAACCATTGATACTGAGAAAAAATCAACAGTTGAAATAAGACGTAACTTCGTGCCAAAACTTCCGTATGCCACTACAATCTACATGCACCGTACAGTTATCCCCTCTCTACGGCCGGTGTCCCTCCCATTCAGTGGTTTATTCTTACCGCTCCGCCCGAGACGGACATATGGCTGACAGCCGACGGCATGATGATCTCATTCAGCACGGTTAGAGACTCCAGCGACCACAGGATCACTGTCTTGTCGTGGGAGCCTGAAACAGATCAAGGCAGCGACTATCGTCTGATCCAGTGGAGCAGACAACAGAATCACTGTCTTATCGTGGGACCTTGAGAAAAAGAGATACATACTAAAGTCTGAACTCTTATCTTCTGCACCATTGTAAAAAGAGGTGAAAAAGATGTTTGCAGTTTACAACATCTGTTGCTGCATTTGACGAAAAGGTATCAGCATGCTCTGATAATAAGCATGTTTGTGAATATGTACATCGCTTTTATCTTCAGTGTCTCGATTCGGTACTGACCTGAGGCCAGGACCTCTGCCTCGGCGTTGACCTGAAGACAGGTGACCGGTCCTCTGTGCTGCGACAGCTGGTGGGGCTCACTGCTGCCACCTGGCGGACAGGAAAAACAATTGATCATAAATCAGCCTGGGTTATGCTTATTTGGTAATCCAGGTATAATAAGAACTGCTTACAGATTAATTGCCATATTCACACGTCCGTGCACATAACTACGAACGGTTTGTAGCAAAGCGATCGTCTCATATTTCAACGTCAATAAAGCCATAATGTTGGAGCGATGATCTTCACCGATCCTCATCGTTACGATCCTCGTTCCCCATTTCCCACTGCTCATAAAACGCATACCACCAATCTGTTCCGATCCAGTGACGTATTACGTACCTTCGGCGCCCGGCAGCCGGGTGACGTACAGACAGCTGTCCTCTCCGCCGCTGACCACCACGTCACCGTGCCGGGCCAGTGATGTCACGGCCACGCACAGCACGCAGGCGATGTGGCGGCTGAAAGCGGCGCACGGTGGACGGGGCGGGAGGCATTTGGGGGAAACGTTTTCTAATAATGCACAATAAACAACACCGTTTTATTTTGTCTTTGACTGACATATGTTACTGTCCCACTGTCCTTAGTAAGCTAGCTTTAAAAACAATCATCGGAAGTTGCTGATATGATTCATAGCAAGAGTAAAGTCTATAAAGTTTAATCGGCTCGCACGCATAACCCACAACAGATGAACAGACCAAACTACTCACCGCACATAATAAATGCAGTACACCAGCAATAACTATTTTCAATGGTATGGTAGTTTTAAGTCCTGCTCCGTAAGCTGTATAGTGTCCATCTCCATAATTTGAACTAACAATATCAGACTAGGATTAGGCATACCAAGGTCAGTCTATCTCTGCAGAGGCCAGCTGAGTCAGGATCACCACTCACTCGATGGTGATGAGCGGCTGGTGACTGGTGGCGCTCCACACCATCACCAGACAGTCCTCGGCACCAGAGACCACGTATCGTCCGTCCGGGGACGGGTACACACAGGTCACGTCACCCGTGTGACCTGACCAGAGGAGGGGGGGAGGGGGGTTGAGAGGTGGGGAAGGGAGGAAGGGTAGATATAGTCAGCCACGGTGGAGTGAAAATAGGTAGCTTTGTAAGTTGGAACTCATGTTAGGCGTTACTCTCAATGCAAGTTGAGATGCATCAACCTATGCATTCGGTTAGCTTTATCAATTGACGCCTTAACCCGCGCCCCGCTGGGGGGGCAGAATCTGCCCCCCTCCCGTTTTTTGCCAATAACTTCTAAACGCGTTACGCCAGCGACGTCAAACGTTCAGTACCTTATCATACATCAATTTGACACGTTCCCTGAAAATTTGAGCGAAATCCGTCGGAAAATTTTTTGAGAAATTGACGTTTTAGTGACGTCATGTTCGCCATTTTCGCCTCAAAAACGGCAAAATTTCAAACGCCGCTAACATCTTCATTTTTAAAGAAATCAAGACGTAACAAAAAAGGTTATACGTGATTCTACTTTGTCTATCAAATGGCTATCTCGGTTTTTTGAAAATTTTGGATTTTGGCCAAAATTTTTCCAAAAAAACTGACTTTTTTGGGAAAATATTTATAAAATCCAAAATTTTGAGTGTATAAAAAACGGAATATATGTCAAAGAAGTGGTCTATGTGCACCTACATACCAATTTTTAGAAGAATCGGTTCAAAAATGTGGGAGTTATTCAAAATTTTATGACGTCACGACACACAAAAATTTTGAAAAATGATTTTTTTGGAAGTTCTAGACCTCGTACGGAAACAAATTAGCACCATTCGATTCGCCGTGAAAAACTGCATCGGATAGACACCTTTTTAGGCCTTAACAACCAACTTCAAAATTTGACCTCATTTGACCTGACCTTGACCTGACCTCGACCTGAAATTCATCCAGAGGTGGTCCATATCACTCATTGAGTGTGCCTATTGAATTCCATGAGTAAAATGACCCATAAAACATGTGTCGCACATGCCCTTTTCTATATTTTGTTTTTGGTGACCTGACCTGACCTGACCTGACCTTGACTTTGACCTTTGAATGACATTGTGTGCAACGAATATTGTCTTGGTAGTCTAAGAACACGTTTTGGGCGATCAGTCTCAGTCCATTCTTCGGCAACTACGGTGCAAGGCCGATACTGTAGAAACTTGCATTTTGTACCCTTGACCTGACCTTGACCTGACCTCTGACCTACTTAAGCAAAAAATTTGGGCTCTTAAGATCCGCCTTGTTGAGAGCTTTCGATTGCCGTTTTCCCCGTCTTTCTACGACCATCGGTTCGGAAGTTAGACAGGGGGGGGCAGAATCTGCCCCCCCCCCCAGCAGGGCGCGTATGGCTGAATAGCCCAGCGGGGCGCGGGTTAAATGTCACGAAAAAGCGTTCACATTTCACGGTTCTACCAAAATAAGTGTTTGTATAGAATGCACTTGCTACCATGCTACCCGCTATACTCACATTTACAATATTTTATAAAATACACATCTACGAGCATAATGTTTCGGGAATGCTCTCAACCGAGCAAGCACAAGAGGAAATATACTCGTACTAAGAAGAAGAAAAACAGCACCCGATGCAATAAGCTTCGTTATGCAAGAGACAATAGTTCGTATTACAGTCATGTGCCGTTTTTAAGCATCTCACCCACCTCTGTACGTGTGCACCAGTTTTGATGTCAGCAGTCTCCAGAGGTGAAAGCAGCGACCGCCACAGGCCACGTACACGTGTACCCCGTCCGGTGCCGGAGAGTACAGCTGTACCGCTTCTGGCAGTGGCAGGTCTGTACCACACAGGTACAGGAGGTTTATAGGTAAACCGGTGAGGTACAGATACGGGAACACGATGGAACGAGATATGAAACTGCGGGAAAAAATGTGGTGAAAATGGAAACAGTAGAGGGATGGCGTATGTGTAGAGTTTCGGCTTCAACAATTCACACCAAGCTCAAGAGCTGAAATGGTCGAAATAGCGAAAACTGATTGCAAATACCCACGTTTATAGTACACTTAAATGCAACGTGATAGCCACTATTTCATTCTTTTTATAATATTCATAATCAAGAAAATATGAAATGAATCGAAAGCTATAATCATACCACTTGTTTCCCGTCCAATCTACCGAATCGCTAAAAACAGATATCTTGCGGCACAGCCTACCTTCAGGCGCTGACCCCTACTGCCATCTACCGTCAATTTTCAACGCTACGCGTAATGCGGCACAGCATACCACTGCAGGCGTTGACCACTAGCGACATCTCTCGGCCGCGGGCGCAGGCTCGTCCGAATAGCTATTCAAGGCAGCATCGGCGGAGGTCGCTAAGCTCGGCTGTGTCGCCAACCGACGCAGTCTGTCCAACAGACTAGCCGAATACTCCAGACTGTGTAGCACAGTCTAGTGACTAAATCAGGCAGCTGGTTGCTGCCTGCTCCAGACTTCATCGCACGGACTACGTAACTAATGTCACCTACCTACACTGTCACCTACACTGAGTCAGGCAGACCGCCAGGCTATCTAAATGCCTCCTACCTCAGACTGACACAGCCAGACTCCTGTCACCTACCCCAGACTGTGTCGGGCAGACTGGTGCGTATCCAGACAGTGGCCGGCACCAGTAGTGGCCTGGTCTGTCTCACGCACCAGTCGACCACAGAGCCCAGCAGGTGACTCAGAGGTGACCCGACCGAGCCAGAACAGTGGTGGAGCCACACCAGCAGCTGCGGCGCCAGCTGATCGCGCCAATCGCCGCTCAGGCCTGGAAGGTATGGTGACGTTACAAGGGGGTCCAGCTGATCGAATCCATCACGGGTTAGGTTTGGAGCGGTGATGATGTTACAATGCGCAACAGATACAGATACAGATACAGAATGCCCCATACGAAGTGAAGGTTTCAGAATAGTATTTTTTATACATGCACATTTTTTTATACATTTTTATACTTGAATTTGCTAAATAAGAGTCTAAATAAGAAATCTAAGTAAGATATATACGATAGGCGTTATCACAAGTGTATTCGCGGCCATTGGGGCGACGTAAGAAAAGAAGAAAACAACTGGCCCCAAGAACTTTAAAGTATCAGTTAGCATGCACCTTTTCCTTGATCTGTAGAGAATTTACCATTAATTGCTAGAGAAAATTGCATTTAAAATCTTCCATTTATGCTTTTTTCATCGTTTGCACAATATGTTCTTTTACTAAGCTAGAAACACTACTTAGAAATAGTTCCCGCATCATCGTCAAGAACAATAGGGAAGGCTTGAAGTGAATACAATAATCTAAACGGTTTTGTTATCTATGAGAAGACACTTCTAAAATTGCCTGTAGAAATATTGAAGGCAAAAGTTCAACTTTTTCACAAGACGGATGTCTATAAACCTACTCAACGTGTGACAACTCAGCCGGTATTTCGTCGCCTACAGCCCAGCTTTCCCTAGTGACCGATAGAGGCGCTGCTATCGATGTCCGCCTGTGCCGCCTAACGAAGAGCCTTATACGCGTCTTAGTGGGTTAACCGCTGACCGAAGGGTAATGAAATGTTTAAACTCGTCGAACATGGTAATGCAATACTCTTACTTTAAATAGTTTAAGCGCCATGACGGACAAAATCTGCTGAGACAATCTCCCACCAGACTGTATCTCAGACATCCAATCAGACTGGTACCAAACTTTAAATCACTTCCACCGCTATCACCGCCAGGAAGTTTCGCATGCGTCCAATCCACTGTCATGCGGCCGGAAAACTTTGAATGAAAACCGCAGTGGAAAGTCCTACTAATCAGTAGAAGATCTTTGTGAATTGTGATCTTATGCTCATGAAACATTATAGATAAATGATTATACCTGTGGTTTTACACTAGCTTTCAATATCATCATTGGCAAGAAGAAAAATCGTCATGGCTTTTCCATCACCCTCAATCTGTCCTATTGCACGTCATCCTGGAGGCTGTAAGTGCACACAAAAAAGATCTTACTTATGTACGACAGCCATTATTTTCTACACCAGCGTACAATCTTGTCATTAATAGATATACACTGTAAATATTGTAGAATGTAATACACTGAAATAAAGAAATAAATTGAAATAAATTGTCGCCGGACCTATTCCCGATCACTTTAGAGCCACTATCTCACACCATACCTATAGTTTTCTGCAGCGCGTGGTGGACCAGCTCCGTCTCCCAGTCCAGGAAGCGGTACCGGGTGGCAGACACCACCCTCTGAAGGTGCCGGGTGCCGCGCAGCCGCGCCGACTGCCACATGTAGCGAAAGTTGCACAGCAGAATCAGCTTCAACCGCTCCAGGTCACCTGGTGGGGCATAGAGGGAGAGATATAGGGGTTAGTTTGGGAGTGAGAAGGGTAGAATGCAGACTGAGTCAGTTTAGACTCACTGGGAGAGAACCGCAACAATGCATCGGGACTCGGGTCTATTTATTATTTAATCCCTGTTTTCAGTGTCAACAATCGAATGTATAGATCCAGGCACATTTCCAAATGTCACATGAATCAGACTGGTCGTAACAAGTACAATGGGAATTGATGGCATTGCGACATTTACTACTGCTCTAGACAATAGAGGTAATGTTGCCACTTTACCGACACTTGGGGTTATACATGCTTTATTCCGTAAGGAACTAATACCTCATTAGTTTTACTATAGAGAAAGGAATGATGCTTCTATTATATCGATAACGAGCATTTCACAAACATACAGAATACCTAGACCAAAAGTCATGTTCACATATTCCATCTAGACATTGTTCAGTAAGGACGACAGTAGGCACCAATAACCGTGTTTACATAGGGTTCCCTTAATCTTCCCCTATTTGTCTCTTAAATGTCCCTTATAAAGGAATCCTCTGTCTCCTTTACCTCGCTTCACTACAAATATGGCGCAACTAAGTCATTCTAGAAGCAGTTTGCAATTGTTACTTACCTTTAGGGCTCTCCCAAATAGCTTCCAGACTAGACACTGAGGTAAAAGTGATAGCACATGAAAGCTCAAAGCAAGAAAAATCAGAAAACTATCTGGCATTTAACATACTTTAAACGGCTGAGCTATTATTCAAGGAGGTGTAATCACATCCACGGCAATATCAGAACACCGCACCTGTCGAATTTCCGCCTTGACTTTCTGCCGTTTATGCGTTAATGCCACTTAAAAATCCTCAGTCGGCGCACGTGCGCTTGTCGAGTCGGGGACCACCAGTCGGACGATTCGGAACTGCCGGCCAATCAGCACGCCGCTTTTGTGATGTGATAGTTTGAGAACCACTGGATATGGTAGCGTAGCAGCTTTTGGAAAGGCGCTACGCTACCATATCCAGTGGTTCTCAAACTATCACATCACAAAAGCGGCGTGCTGATTGGCCGGCAGTTCCGAATCGTCCGATGTGGTCCCCGACTCGACAAGCGCACGTGCGCCGACTGAGGATTTTTAAGTGGCATTAACGCATAACGGCAGAAAGTCAAGGCGGAAATTCGACAGGTGCGGTGTTCTGATATTGCCGTGGATGTGATTACACTCCTTGAATAATAGCTCAGCCGTTTAAAGTATGTTAAATGCCAGATAGTTTTCTGATTTTTCTTGCTTTGAGCTTTCATGTGCTATCACTTTTACCTCAGTGTCTAGTCTGGAAGCTATTTGGGAGAGCCCTAAAGGTAAGTAACAATTGCAAACTGCTTCTAGAATGACTTAGTTGCGCCATATTTGTAGTGAAGCGAGGTAAAGGAGACAGAGGATTCCTTTATAAGGGACATTTAAGAGACAAATAGGGAAGATTAAGGGAACCCTATGTAAACACGGTTATTGGTGCCTACTGTCGTCCTTACTGAACAATGTCTAGATGGATATGTGAACATGACTTTTGGTCTAGGTATTCTGTATGTTTGTGAAATGCTCGTTATCGATATAATAGAAGCATCATTCCTTTCTCTATAGTAAAACTAATGAGGTATTAGTTCCTTACGGAATAAAGCATGTATAACCCCAAGTGTCGGTAAAGTGGCAACATTACCTCTATTGTCTAGAGCAGTAGTAAATGTCGCAATGCCATCAATTCCCATTGTACTTGTTACGACCAGTGATTCATGTGACATTTGGAAATGTGCCTGGATCTATACATTCGATTGTTGACACTGAAAACAGGGATTAAATAATAAATAGACCCGAGTCCCGATGCATTGTTGCGGTTCTCTCCCAGTGAGTCTAAACTGACTCAGTCTGCATTCTACCCTTCTCACTCCCAAACTAACCCCTATATCTCTCCCTCTATGCCCCACCAGGTGACCTGGAGCGGTTGAAGCTGATTCTGCTGTGCAACTTTCGCTACATGTGGCAGTCGGCGCGGCTGCGCGGCACCCGGCACCTTCAGAGGGTGGTGTCTGCCACCCGGTACCGCTTCCTGGACTGGGAGACGGAGCTGGTCCACCACGCGCTGCAGAAAACTATAGGTATGGTGTGAGATAGTGGCTCTAAAGTGATCGGGAATAGGTCCGGCGACAATTTATTTCAATTTATTTCTTTATTTCAGTGTATTACATTCTACAATATTTACAGTGTATATCTATTAATGACAAGATTGTACGCTGGTGTAGAAAATAATGGCTGTCGTACATAAGTAAGATTTTTTGTGTGCACTTACAGCCTCCAGGATGACGTGCAATAGGACAGATTGAGGGTGATGGAAAAGCCATGACGATTTTTCTTCTTGCCAATGATGATATTGAAAGCTAGTGTAAAACCACAGGTATAATCATTTATCTATAATGTTTCATGAGCATAAGATCACAATTCACAAAGATCTTCTACTGATTAGTAGGACTTTCCACTGCGGTTTTCATTCAAAGTTTTCCGGCCGCATGACAGTGGATTGGACGCATGCGAAACTTCCTGGCGGTGATAGCGGTGGAAGTGATTTAAAGTTTGGTACCAGTCTGATTGGATGTCTGAGATACAGTCTGGTGGGAGATTGTCTCAGCAGATTTTGTCCGTCATGGCGCTTAAACTATTTAAAGTAAGAGTATTGCATTACCATGTTCGACGAGTTTAAACATTTCATTACCCTTCGGTCAGCGGTTAACCCACTAAGACGCGTATAAGGCTCTTCGTTAGGCGGCACAGGCGGACATCGATAGCAGCGCCTCTATCGGTCACTAGGGAAAGCTGGGCTGTAGGCGACGAAATACCGGCTGAGTTGTCACACGTTGAGTAGGTTTATAGACATCCGTCTTGTGAAAAAGTTGAACTTTTGCCTTCAATATTTCTACAGGCAATTTTAGAAGTGTCTTCTCATAGATAACAAAACCGTTTAGATTATTGTATTCACTTCAAGCCTTCCCTATTGTTCTTGACGATGATGCGGGAACTATTTCTAAGTAGTGTTTCTAGCTTAGTAAAAGAACATATTGTGCAAACGATGAAAAAAGCATAAATGGAAGATTTTAAATGCAATTTTCTCTAGCAATTAATGGTAAATTCTCTACAGATCAAGGAAAAGGTGCATGCTAACTGATACTTTAAAGTTCTTGGGGCCAGTTGTTTTCTTCTTTTCTTACGTCGCCCCAATGGCCGCGAATACACTTGTGATAACGCCTATCGTATATATCTTACTTAGATTTCTTATTTAGACTCTTATTTAGCAAATTCAAGTATAAAAATGTATAAAAAAATGTGCATGTATAAAAAATACTATTCTGAAACCTTCACTTCGTATGGGGCATTCTGTATCTGTATCTGTATCTGTTGCGCATTGTAACATCATCACCGCTCCAAACCTAACCCGTGATGGATTCGATCAGCTGGACCCCCTTGTAACGTCACCATACCTTCCAGGCCTGAGCGGCGATTGGCGCGATCAGCTGGCGCCGCAGCTGCTGGTGTGGCTCCACCACTGTTCTGGCTCGGTCGGGTCACCTCTGAGTCACCTGCTGGGCTCTGTGGTCGACTGGTGCGTCGAGACAGACCAGGCCACTACTGGTGCCGGCCACTGTCTGGATACGCACCAGTCTGCCCGACACAGTCTGGGGTAGGTGACAGGAGTTGGCTGTGTCAGTCTGAGGTAGGAGGCATTTAGATAGCCTGGCGGTCTGCCTGACTCAGTGTAGGTGACAGTGTAGGTAGGTGACATTAGTTACGTAGTCCGTGCGATGAAGTCTGGAGCAGGCAGCAACCAGCTGCCTGATTTAGTCACTAGACTGTGCTACACAGTCTGGAGTATTCGGCTAGTCTGTTGGACAGACTGCGTCGGTTGGCGACACAGCCGAGCTTAGCGACCTCCGCCGATGCTGCCTTGAATAGCTATTCGGACGAGCCTGCGCCCGCGGCCGAGAGATGTCGCTAGTGGTCAACGCCTGCAGTGGTATGCTGTGCCGCATTACGCGTAGCGTTGAAAATTGACGGTAGATGGCAGTAGTAGGGGTCAGCGCCTGAAGGTAGGCTGTGCCGCAAGATATCTGTTTTTAGCGATTCGGTAGATTGGACGGGAAACAAGTGGTATGATTATAGCTTTCGATTCATTTCATATTTTCTTGATTATGAATTATAAAAAGAATGAAATAGTGGCTATCACGTTGCATTTAAGTGTACTATAAACGTGGGTATTTGCAATCAGTTTTCGCTATTTCGACCATTTCAGCTCTTGAGCTTGGTGTGAATTGTTGAAGCCGAAACTCTACACATACGCCATCCCTTACTGTTTCCATTTTCACCACATTTTTTCCCGCAGTTTCATATCTCGTTCCATCGTGTTCCCGTATCTGTACCTCACCGGTTTACCTATAAACCTCCTGTACCTGTGTGGTACAGACCTGCCACTGCCAGAAGCGGTACAGCTGTACTCTCCGGCACCGGACGGGGTACACGTGTACGTGGCCTGTGGCGGTCGCTGCTTTCACCTCTGGAGACTGCTGACATCAAAACTGGTGCACACGTACAGAGGTGGGTGAGATGCTTAAAAACGGCACATGACTGTAATACGAACTATTGTCTCTTGCATAACGAAGCTTATTGCATCGGGTGCTGTTTTTCTTCTTCTTAGTACGAGTATATTTCTTGTGCTTGCTCGGTTGAGAGCATTCCCGAAACATTATGCTCGTAGATGTGTATTTTTATAAAATATTGTAAATGTGAGTATAGCGGGTAGCATGGTAGCAAGTGCATTCTATACAAACACTTATTTTGGTAGAACCGTGAAATGTGAACGCTTTTTCGTGACATTTAACCCGCGCCCCGCTGGGCTATTCAGCCATACGCGCCCTTGGGGGGGGGGGCAGATTCTGCCCCCCCTGTCTAACTTCCGAACCGATGGTCGTAGAAAGACGGGGAAAACGGCAATCGAAAGCTCTCAACAAGGCGGATCTTAAGAGCCCAAATTTTTTGCTTAAGTAGGTCAGAGGTCAGGTCAAGGTCAGGTCAAGGGTACAAAATGCAAGTTTCTACAGTATCGGCCTTGCACCGTAGTTGCCGAAGAATGGACTGAGACTGATCGCCCAAAACGTGTTCTTAGACTACCAAGACAATATTCGTTGCACACAATGTCATTCAAAGGTCAAAGTCAAGGTCAGGTCAGGTCAGGTCAGGTCACCAAAAACAAAAATATAGAAAAGGGCATGTGCGACACATGTTTTATGGGTCATTTTACTCATGGAATTCAATAGGCACACTCAATGAGTGATATGGACCACCTCTGGATGAATTTCAGGTCGAGGTCAGGTCAAGGTCAGGTCAAATGAGGTCAAATTTTGAAGTTGGTTGTTAAGGCCTAAAAAGGTGTCTATCCGATGCAGTTTTTCACGGCGAATCGAATGGTGCTAATTTGTTTCCGTACGAGGTCTAGAACTTCCAAAAAAATCATTTTTCAAAATTTTGTGTGTCGTGACGTCATAAAATTTTGAATAACTCCCACATTTTTGAACCGATTCTTCTAAAAATTGGTATGTAGGTGCACATAGACCACTTCTTTGACATATATTCCGTTTTTTATACACTCAAAATTTTGGATTTATAAATATTTTCCCAAAAAAGTCAGTTTTTTGGAAAAATTTTGGCCAAAATCCAAAATTTTCAAAAAACCGAGATAGCCATTTGATAGACAAAGTAGAATCACGTATAACCTTTTTTGTTACGTCTTGATTTCTTTAAAAATGAAGATGTTAGCGGCGTTTGAAATTTTGCCGTTTTTGAGGCGAAAATGGCGAACATGACGTCACTAAAACGTCAATTCTCAAAAAATTTTCCGACGGATTTCGCTCAAATTTTCAGGGAACGTGTCAAATTGATGTATGATAAGGTACTGAACGTTTGACGTCGCTGGCGTAACGCGTTTAGAAGTTATTGGCAAAAAACGGGAGGGGGGCAGATTCTGCCCCCCCAGCGGGGCGGGGTTAAGGCGTCAATTGATAAAGCTAACCGAATGCATAGGTTGATGCATCTCAACTTGCATTGAGAGTAACGCCTAACATGAGTTCCAACTTACAAAGCTACCTATTTTCACTCCACCGTGGCTGACTATATCTACCCTTCCTCCCTTCCCCACCTCTCAACCCCCCTCCCCCCTCCTCTGGTCAGGTCACACGGGTGACGTGACCTGTGTGTACCCGTCCCCGGACGGACGATACGTGGTCTCTGGTGCCGAGGACTGTCTGGTGATGGTGTGGAGCGCCACCAGTCACCAGCCGCTCATCACCATCGAGTGAGTGGTGATCCTGACTCAGCTGGCCTCTGCAGAGATAGACTGACCTGGTATGCCTAATCCTAGTCTGATATGTTAGTTCAAATTATGGAGATGGACACTATACAGCTTACGGAGCAGGACTTAAAACTACCATACCATTGAAAATAGTTATTGCTGGTGTACTGCATTTATTATGTGCGGTGAGTAGTTTGGTCTGTTCATCTGTTGTGGGTTATGCGTGCGAGCCGATTAAACTTTATAGACTTTACTCTTGCTATGAATCATATCAGCAACTTCCGATGATTGTTTTTAAAGCTAGCTTACTAAGGACAGTGGGACAGTAACATATGTCAGTCAAAGACAAAATAAAACGGTGTTGTTTATTGTGCATTATTAGAAAACGTTTCCCCCAAATGCCTCCGCCCCGTCCACCGTGCGCCGCTTTCAGCCGCCACATCGCCTGCGTGCTGTGCGTGGCCGTGACATCACTGGCCCGGCACGGTGACGTGGTGGTCAGCGGCGGAGAGGACAGCTGTCTGTACGTCACCCGGCTGCCGGGCGCCGAAGGTACGTAATACGTCACTGGATCGGAACAGATTGGTGGTATGCGTTTTATGAGCAGTGGGAAATGGGGAACGAGGATCGTAACGATGATCGGTGAAGATCATCGCTCCAACATTATGGCTTTATTGACGTTGAAATATGAGACGATCGCTTTGCTACAAACCGTTCGTAGTTATGTGCACGGACGTGTGAATATGGCAATTAATCTGTAAGCAGTTCTTATTATACCTGGATTACCAAATAAGCATAACCCAGGCTGATTTATGATCAATTGTTTTTCCTGTCCGCCAGGTGGCAGCAGTGAGCCCCACCAGCTGTCGCAGCACAGAGGACCGGTCACCTGTCTTCAGGTCAACGCCGAGGCAGAGGTCCTGGCCTCAGGTCAGTACCGAATCGAGACACTGAAGATAAAAGCGATGTACATATTCACAAACATGCTTATTATCAGAGCATGCTGATACCTTTTCGTCAAATGCAGCAACAGATGTTGTAAACTGCAAACATCTTTTTCACCTCTTTTTACAATGGTGCAGAAGATAAGAGTTCAGACTTTAGTATGTATCTCTTTTTCTCAAGGTCCCACGATAAGACAGTGATTCTGTTGTCTGCTCCACTGGATCAGACGATAGTCGCTGCCTTGATCTGTTTCAGGCTCCCACGACAAGACAGTGATCCTGTGGTCGCTGGAGTCTCTAACCGTGCTGAATGAGATCATCATGCCGTCGGCTGTCAGCCATATGTCCGTCTCGGGCGGAGCGGTAAGAATAAACCACTGAATGGGAGGGACACCGGCCGTAGAGAGGGGATAACTGTACGGTGCATGTAGATTGTAGTGGCATACGGAAGTTTTGGCACGAAGTTACGTCTTATTTCAACTGTTGATTTTTTCTCAGTATCAATGGTTATCACAGTTATAAACGTATTACAGCTAGGATCAGGGTGCCAAAATGTTTTTGGAGTTATGTGAAAATTGAAACGCCTTGGATAGGACCAGCTTTTTGTTATTTAGCTTTTTGTATTGCTCCCCTGTTTTTTTATAGTTTTTTTTTCTGACCTGTGTAATGCAGTGCATCAACTCACGTCACCTTTGAAAACGAATGTTTCTGTACATATATCTGGGTTAACCAAACCAGAGTCTCTCTTTTTCAGACGTTTCTGCTTACCGCCTGTCTGGATATGACGGTTTATGTGCACAGCTTTACCACTGGCAGTCCGTTACATACGCTGAAAAACCACCAGAGTCAGGTCGGTAATGCCGTGCGGTGTTTGGTCAGTTATAGAGTTGCAAAGTTTCCCTACCGCATTACCGGCATGCCGGTAATTTTTCACTACCGCAGGTTTTTTTGTGGTATCTGGCATGTCTTGCCGGTAACATGCCGGTATTTTTGGTTTTGCAAAAAAAATTATTAGCATATGATTCAAACTTTGGACACTAAGAGGAAAATGTGGCATCTCTTGTAGGGGTAAACTGGAATCAACAATATATGTTTTCAATATAACCTTATGTTCAATGATTGCGAAATGCAAATGGTTCCAAAATTAATTACAAAATGATATATTTCGGACACTGTCCTTCTTCAGTTCAGAATTGCAAATTAAATCATTTAGTCACAACAGCGCCAGAATATGTCGATAACAGCTAAGTTTGCTAGCTAAGCACTTAGCTGTTATCGACATATTCTGGCGCTGTTGTGACTAAATGATTTAATTTGCAATTCTGAACTGAAGAAGGACAGTGTCCGAAATATATTCATTTTGTAATTAATTTTGGAACCATTTGCATTTCGCAATCATTGAACATAAGGTTATATTTGAAAACATATATATGTCATAATGCTGTTCATACAAGTACTTCGCCATTTACTTGGAATCAACAATGCAGGTTTTTAGTATGCCGGTAATTTGGTGGTTTTTGCTTTGGGCGTGGTAGCATGCCGTTATCCCCAAAAAATTTTGTGGGGCGGGGTTGTGCCGGTAGCAGCCTTTGGGGAAACTTTGCAACTCTAGTCAGTTACTTACAGCGGCTGGCTCTTCGCCGATTACTGTTAACGCCAGACCCTTGAGACCCTAATTTTTCGCGATTACTTTTAAATGCGTGAAGGAATTTCAACCAAGCTCAGGACATGGCCGTTTCAAGACAGGCCGAAACTTTTACAATTTAGATATTTTATCGCCATTTCAATATTTCAGGCACTTGTCATTGACTCGTAATGTTAACTGTTTTTCCATGGATAGAGGCTTTCTACGTCATATGACATTAGGCTCCGCCCACGACTGCGGCATTGACTCGTGCCCATCAGCGACCTCTGTACAAACGACACCCCTGCCATCTGTGAAGGACTATGAATTTCGCTGACGCTTCACGTGCTATGAGTCAATTGCAGCAGACGGTCAAGTAAATGTTAGGCTCTTGTTGACTCTTGTATATAGGACCAAGAGGACCATCACTCCTCAACCTACTACTCAGTCGTGCTTCGAACAAACGTTAACGATTCCTAATAAATACGATTTTCGATGTAGGGTATCTGTTTGAAATACGAGCGAGCCGTATGATGTGAAGCTCAGGCAATTAACTTATTATTGCGTTGTTCGATGGTTGCATAGCGATGTACAAATCGGCAGCTACTTGGTGACATCCGACATCCCATTATCGCATTATCTGCAACGCCATAGGCTTTAAATACAGCTGAATATTTCCTAACCTTATGTCAGTTATATGCCATCTGCCCGTCATTTGCAGCTTATAGAAAAAAAAAATATATCAGCGAACATATCAGCATTGTAGAAGCAATGCGCATTGAGCATTTATGACTCCTTAGTCATCATGTCGCTCTCTGGGCACTGTCAGCCAAGACGCTACGCACAACTCCGCCGGCTTTCGGCACCGCTCGACCGTCGCCCGTCCCCGCTCCCCGCCACAGCGAGAGTGACCGCGCGCCGGCCCGAAACCGCCGCAGGCCAAGACCACAGAGGCGGGGCTTAGCTGTGACGTCATAACGTATCACAGACTGACTGGTGATAGCCTCTACACACCGGATGAAATCTTGCTCGAAATTTAACATTACGAGTCAATGACAAGTGCCTGAAATGTTGAAATGGCGATAAAATATCTAAATTGTAAAAGTTTCGGCCTGTCTTGAAACGGCCATGTCCTGAGCTTGGTTGAAATTCCTTCACGCATTTAAAAGTAATCGCGAAAAATTAGGGTCTCAAGGGGTCTGGCGTTAACAGTAGCTGATTCGGTATTGATGTTGCTGTTAGTGATAACTCAGCCATCCTATGACAATGATCATAAGTTTTCGATTATCTCGTAAGGCAAAAGAATGCTGCTCAATATTAAACTTCAATTGTGTTGCTGTTGGCGTTGCTGTTAGACGTAAAACCAAAACGTCATAACATTTATCTTCATGGTAACACTAAAAACTAAGATTATCGTAAATAAATGTTGTTCTATAATTGAGTTCCCCTTACTGGCGTCCTTCATTTTGATTTATTGCCTGCCATCTGACGTGAGCCGCCTCGTAAAAACCGTCAACAATGATTGGTAGCCTGACATTGTCTGAGGCACGTGACCTCAGTGGTGTCACAGCAAAACCCTAATGCTGATTGGCTGATCTCGAATAGCACTTTCACTGATTGGCTGTTTGGCAGGTGACCTCTGTGACCCCATCTAAGAACAGTACGCTGATTGGCTGATCCCACCAAACACCCTCTCTGATTGGTCAGGTGACCTCAGTGACGTCATCTGAGGACGGTAACCTGTGCGTGGTCGGCTGCCGCGACTCCAAGGTGTACGTGTACGACATACCGTCCTCCAAGCTGCTGAAGACGCTCACCAAGCACGGCAGTCCGGTACTGGCTGCTCTGTTCACATCGCACGGCAGGCTGCTCATCACGGCAGGTGGGTGAAATCGGTCGGTTTCTATCGAATAAGTGGGGTTGATTTGGAGTATGCGATACGATGTTGATTTTGTAGCATCGTATACGGTGGAGCACTTCATTCAGTGTGAGGAAATGACAGGTATACGGAAACGTGGAAATGTTTTTGAGTTGCACGTTGTATCGACTATCGAGTACCCGAGTGTGCTCCTGATATTCCATACCCATGTGGCAGCCATTGAACCATTCCTTGTTGTAAAATCGGTGCAGCTTTGATATGTTTGATAATCAAATATCAATCATGGCAGTGGAGACCGGTACTAAAAGCATTTTGACAAAACCACTGATAATAAAAAGTTATTATTATCGATATTGCAATTTGATTTTGACTTTTTAACGGCTTTGAATCATTTTCATTAATCTCTCCCTCTCTTCAGGCGACCGCCGGGTACTGGTAACCCACGTCCAGCCGCTGACCGTGAAGCCGAGGGGTGTACCTGTCCGACCGGAAAAAGATACCCGTGGAACATACCGCCGACATCACCTGTCTGGATATATCGGCCGACCAGAGCATGGTCGTCACGGGTAAGTGTTGGAAATTAGACTGTTTGAGCCGGATGACAGACGAGGAGAAGCTTGTGAAAATAGGAGCTGGCTTAGAGTCACACATTTGGGCGGAGAAAATGACATTTATTACGGTTACTTGCATTTTTGTTCTGCCTTTAGGGCTTCTGTACTCTGACAGCCCAAATCAGTGTGATCTGCTTCATATTCGAGTTGTGTTTGAAACATTTCAACGATGGCTTATCTTATACGTTTTCAGGCGTAATTGCATTCACTTCTAACCTTTCTTAGGTGCTCCGTGAATGCCTTTCTTACCCTGAATGTCAAAAATAAAGAAACAATATCTAATAAATTTGCCGCCCCTCTCCCTCCCGCCCCCAGGTTCCAGCGACTCGCACCTCAAGGTGTGGCTGGTGCCCTCTGGTGACCTGCACGCCACCCTGGAGGGTCACACGGGGGCCGTGACCTGTGTCCAGTTCGCCCCGAACGGACTGTATGCAGTCAGCGGCTCACGAGATAGCTCCATACGCGTCTGGGGACTGACTCTCAATATGGTGGTGTCCGCGTTCACGGTGAGTGGTGGAGAAGGCTGTGACGTCATCGATGGGCGGGTGACCTCAGTGGTAAAACTGGGGTGGAGTGTTATGATGCTAAGGATTAAAGATTAACATATTAAGAATTGAGTCCGTAATATCTCTTACTACTGAGGTGAAATAAATTCAAATTATTGAAGAAGATGAAGGAAATACAAATATTGACTCGAGATTCATGTCGAACGCTGCCGATTTCACATATAACGCGTTCACAGATGGCTGAAGTGTCATGTGATGTGTTACTGATATTATCATGTCTTAATGACGTCTGTGTCATTTCCTCAGGACACCAGGCGCCGGTGGTGTGTCTCAGTGTGTTATCGGACAGCAAACAGACACTGTCTGCGGACAGCGACGGAGTTCTGATGGTAAGACATGGGCCACACATGTGCGAATTGCGACGTTCTGTTGAATCGTCGCTGAAGACAAACATAATACAATGTCAACATGTTAACGAAATACCGGCTGGGGTAGGTGAGGGCAATACTGATGAAGCTACATAACGCCGATTTATAAACGAACGAGCACAGCGTGCGGACGAGTTTATATATTGTGGCCCGTGTCATTAGCTGTGGCAGGTAGATGTCGGTCAGTATAGTCCTGTTGATCTGCGTCAGTGTCAATATCACTGACCTCTGCCCCGTATACCAGCTGAGGCAGCTAGAGACCAGTATCGTGCTGCCGCCCTGTGTCAGTGTCAGGTGTCAGTGTCAATGTGTCAGTGTCAGTGTTAGTGTCACTGACCTGTACCCTGTATATCAGCTGTGGCAGGTGGAGACCGCTATCGCGCTCCTGACCTTTCAATGTGTCAGTGTCAGCGTGTCAGTGTGTCAGTGTCAGTGACCTCTGCCCCCTTTATCAGCTGTGGCAGGTGGAGACGGGTATCGTGCTGCTGACCTGTCACGGTCCGGGTCATATGATCCGAGTCACTCCGGACCGCAGTCACGCCGTCTCCGGCAGCAGCGAGGGCAGTCAGTGAGTCAGCACCACATAATAACAGTGAAAATCGTCCCCATATTTCCAATTATAATGAACGCACTGTTTTTATTCTTACGGTGAGAGGTCCTCAGGTATTCTCAAAGAACTGTACGTGGCTACGTTAGGTAGATAATTGAGAGATCTTCTGCTTAGTGGCACTGTTATGAAATATGAATGGTTCGATGAGAGGTTGTGAAGCGAACATTTTTTTTTTGTCACAGTAACACAGCTTGTATTTTGCTCCCGATCATACGAATCAAAAGGTTAACTCTGCCCGTCCTAAAGCAACATTTGCATCTTGCATCTTGCATCTTTGCAATAAAATAAAATTTGTTAGAAGCACCTGTGTTCCAAGTGCCCACCCATCTTGAAACTAACGTTCTCTCACATTTGACTTCCAGGCTCTATGTGTGGACGCTGAGCAAGGAGCACACCAAATACACCATTAGCCACAATGACGCCATACGCTGTTTTGACGTCAGCAGTGACAGTCTACACGTCATCACGGGCTCCAATGACGCCTCGCTGAAGGTGTGGACCATCGCAGAGGGACGGCTCACCCAGGTCAGTCTGAGTGGTGTCAAAATGACGTCATAAATTCGTCTGGTTGCACTGTTCATCGCAACGAGACGGAGCTGAGTTGAGCCACCATTTAGGATGACACATCAAGATACATGTGTCTACGAATTTCGTTCAGACTACTGACCATAAATATGGTAAATTATGAATCATATGTATAACCAATAATTATCATGTTTATAACTGAATACGCGACGTGAATCAGTTATGCATCATGCCTTATGTAGCATGCAGTGCGGTGCAGCTGCCTTATTGTAGCACTTGTCAGTGTCAATACTATAAACTGACTGTGTCATGCCCCGACTGGCTGACTGCCACAGGTGCTGGTGGGCCACGAGGCAGCGGTGACCTGCGTTGCCTACCCTGCCTATGTTAGTCACACGGCCGCGTCAGGCGGAGACGACTGCCTAGTCATGGCCTGGGACGTAGGCACAGGTAACTGGCCACTTTAATTCGCGTCAGGGGTGATAGTCATAGTGTTTGCCATGCTGAAAATAAGGTAATGGGGACTTCCTAGTCAAGTTATCGGGCTTAGTTGGCATATTATCTCAATTTCTGGGTACATTTTGCACAATTTCAGTGACCTGACCTGTGACCCTACCCTGTGACCTCACTCAGTCACCTAACCTGTGTTCTGACCTGTGACTTCACTCTGACCTGATCTGTGACCTGGCCTTTGGTCTGTGATTTGATTTGTGACTTAACCTTTGACCGGCAGTTCTGCTTTTCTTCGACCTGAACGGCGACCTCACTATGTGATCTTACCCTGTAAGCTGTAACCTTGCCCTGTGACCTACTTGCGACCTGACCTGACCTGTGGCCTGACGTGTGACCGTCAGGTCAGACCCGTCAGGTGATTCGGGACCACACGGCACCAGTGACAGCAGTCAGCATGACGGCGGACGCCGGGATGATTATATCAGGTATGTGTGCCAACCGTGGCGACCACTAGGTTCTTTGCGTCATTTCCTGCCTTATATTCCTCGGGATCGGTATATTCATATTGACTAGTGGTAATTGACCTTTAGTCTTTACAATTATTTCAATCGTGTGCGTAAACGTCTGCATTTAGACGCCATGCCGGCTTAATTGATATTTTCCTTTTTCTCTCCCGTGTCTGGTTTGTGTTTCGGACAGGCTCAGTGGCTTACTTGGCCTAAGTGTATATCTCCCAACAAGCTTAGTCATAGCGTATGTTTTTTTTTCGGGCAGGTTCCGTGACGGGCTGGGTGTACGTCCACAAGACGGTCTCTGGCTACTGCGTGACGTCCATTGCTCTCCACAAGGCCGTGGCGGGCCTCTGTATCTCCGCAGACGCCGGCAAAATTGTCGCCAGGTCCGTGGGTCAGAGTTTTGGTTATGTGGCACTATAAACTTGCACGCAGATAGTATTTGAATTAAGGGTTTGTGGTTTTATTTAAAATCACTTGAAGCAACTTTTTTAAAATAATGTCATATGCCTTTATTTATGCACAGTTCGTGGTTTTGTGTCGTAGAGAAATCGTTTCCCATGCTATAAATTTGATGAATGTGGTTTGAAAGAATTTGGTTTAAAAAAGTTGTGCCAAATGCAGAGAAACAAAGATTCTGACTCAGCGTGTGAAATATTTACGAAAAGTGGTGGCCACCGTTTTCTAATTTCGTTTCCAGGCTGCAGAATAGCATGTACTTTGCCCTGCTGAGTTTCCTCAACGTACCTCCGCTGGCTCCGCGGGCCCGGCCAAGAGCCGTGGTTCAGCCAATCACAGGTAGAATATAGCTGGCAGTCCAGCCTATCACATGCCAGTGTGCAAACGGCTCAGCTTCCCTATCGTTGGCAATTTCCCAGTTATTTGCCAAACAGTCTTTGGATAAAAAAAACTTGTGTTTCTTAAACAATTCAGTATTACAAACAGGACTAATCCTACAGATGCTGTTTCGCTAGCATTCGTCCGAATAGAGCCTTAAACCCGCGCCCTGCTGGGGGTCCTGGATTTCCACGCCCTGCTGGGGGGGGGGTGTTTGAACACCCCCCCTTGTAACTCGGCTGCTGGGCCACGTAGCGATACGCGGAAGGCGGCGTTCGAAAGAGCGTCAAAAATAATGACGAAATCACTTCGGTCAATTTTTTGGTCAGGTCAAAGGTCAGGTCACCAGAGGTCATTGAAGGCAAAATTTCGCCGATTTCCAGGTCGAATGTCGAAAATTTCCAAGAAGCCAACGCATAACTCGGGAACCAATAGAGCTACAGCGCCGCGGAAAAGCGCATTCGATAGCCCTATTAACGCCCTTTCTGAGTAATTCTCTCAGATTTGACCTAACGTCAACGGTTTTGCCTGCAGGGGGCAAAAACTGCAAAAATAGCCGATTTTTTCGAAAACAGTTTTTCTGCAATAACTTTTGACCCAAGCCTTGTACGAGCTTACTTTTACCGGCATCGTGTTCCTCTCGTCAAGACGCATCGAATGAACTATAACTTGACCTTGAAAGGTCAACTTGAAAATTTGACCTCAGGTCAAGGTCATGACCTGACCGGAAAGGGTCATGTTGCATATCAGTCGATCCGTATCGTCGAGCTGAACACATCTAAGGCGTTTTCATCGCTCTAGCATGCCTCTATCAAAAGTTATTTGCGAAAAACTGATAGATACCATTCGTGACCTAAGATGACCTCAGGGCATAAACAAGGGTCACGGACACCATTTTCAAGCTCAGTGTGTCTAAACCACTTGTAATTCGGTGTTTGGGAGTGTTTATAATGTCTTTCATCCAAAAGAGGCGCATTTCAATTTTCTCCCATTGACTTATAATGGGGAGGTCGCAAAATTGACCTGACCTTAGGTCATCGATATCAAAATTCTGAGATATACATTTTGTACATGCTATTGCTCTTAGCAATCGCTGAAAGTTTCAAAGCGATCGGTCACTCGGTGTAGCTATGACAGACATTGAAAGTTTTTATGAGGTGAGGTCAGTTCAAGTAACCTGGTGACCTGACCTTGAATGACCTTGGTCTGAAATTTTCACAACATGTGTAGAATTGATGTATGATAAGGTGTACCAAAAACGGCGGCGCTCCGCGCCGCCGTTTTTGAGATATTCGCGAAAAACCACAAGGGGGGGGTGTTCAAACACCCCCCCCCAGCAGGGCGCGGGTTAAATAAGCCCTTATTAAATGTTTCAAATTATGTTTTATTTTTGCCATCTCTCTTGCTAGTCCTTTCAGAGACTGTTTCACCCATTTCTCCCTATGCACTGAGCCGATTATTTCATTGTTCTACAGTACTAACCCCTGCCCCATCGCTGACCTCAGAGGGCCGACGGGGCGCCGAGGCCACCGCTTCCCCGGCCGCCAGCCGCCGGCCGCCGCCGCACCGGCGCGCACTCAAAAAGGGCATCTCCCTGGACACTTACACCTGGCAGAGAAAGTACGGCGGACTGCTCAGCAAAATGGCGCCACGTGAGTTAACCAGAGTGACTGTCAGCTCGTAATGAGCTTGTAAACATACTTCTAGCAACTAGAATTTAGTATGCACTATTCTTGGATATCGAAGCTTTTGCACGTTGCGAAATTTATCAAAGATACACGAGCAATGGGATTGCATAAACAGATTACAACTGCTTAGCTAAATGCAAAAGCCAAATATTATGCATATTTGTTTGCTCATGTGTCTGCAGTTATCGTCTTGCACCTAAAGGCTTATTATATTCTTCCCACCCAATGCTGTATATAAACGCTTGTACTTTCCCGTTCTGCCGATGATATTATTTATCCGTGTAGGGTAAGGTGCCTAATTAGCGACCCTTTCCGATTTGCGACCTACCTCCCTACAGAAAAACTGGCGGGAGAAAACAGGGTAAAAACATCGTCAAAAGGTTAGCCATACTTTGGTTATCAAATTTAATTACTTTACGGTTGTCGATGTTTCTGGTGGGACGTTTCAGGTGAGTTTAAATGAAAATGACGAGTTTCTTATCCAAAACGTGTGTGTTTGGGCCCTCTATGATGAAAAGCGATGCACATTAGGATGATGCACCTTTTTTATTCTGAATCGACATTCCTTTTTCAATTGATTGCCGTTTTCCCATAGTGAATCGCTTAACTGTGCACAGCATGGCGGTTAAAAATGTGTCGCAACTCATATTTCCTATTTGCGCCTGACATGGTCGCAAATAGCTCAAGAAGGGAAAGAAAGGGGAAAAGAGAGAAATGAAAATGAGGTGTTGCTGAAGCTTGCAATGTGGGCAGGGGATGTCAAATGTCGTCACCGACTGCAGGGGTGCCGAATTCAGCGCGGACCTCGAATATCATACGAGAGAGCCCGCAAAATCTGGGTTTCCGCCTTCTTTTCGCCTTCAGTGTATCACGTGATCAGTTTTTACTTACATAAATGTGTTGGATAAACGTTCCTGTTCGAGTGATTGAGTGCTTTGCGTATAGGTTACCTTTTTTGGATAATATTTCATCTTTTCAGGCGTCGCATTTTTTGCCATTTTTAATATGGGGAAACCCATGGACTTATTAGCGACCCTCCCCGGTCGCTAATCGGGAAGAGTTCCCTATTAGCGTTTTTTTTCAATGGTTTGCTAAAATGCTCACTACAAATAAATTAGTGAATATTGGGGCAGAAAATGACTATATTTTAAAAGAAAAATGAACGACCTCTCCGAAAATCAAGCCAGTAATACAGTGGCACCCACAGAGCGTGAGCAATGACGGTTCAAATTAAGGGGGTCGCTAATTAGGCACCTTACCCTACCACCATGCTTTGTATGCTTGACTTAGCTTTATCTTCACGCCTTGTATTCACATTGCACAATGCACATGCTGTACATATTTTCACGCATCCTCGCATACATTTTATCTGCGTTTCATTGTCCAATCGGCCAGATTCTGACGCTCGTCAGGGCAGCTGTTCTTACTTGTGTTTCAGTGTCTCCGGTGAATGGGGAGAAACCCAGGAGGAAAATTGGGGAGGAGGAGGTACGAATGTGTCCCGAAGGAGGCACCATTCACCCCAGTCAGGTGAGGTTCAGTTTCGGGCTACCGAGAGGCCGGCTGATAATTACTTGCTCATGTCGCTACGTGGTTTTCTTGCATCGTAGTCGTCTATGCAGGTGGTCATATTCTGAGGATACTTAGTATGATCGTTAGAGACGGTTTCAATGTTGTTCTAAGAGTTTTATGACTTGACGTAAGGTGAGCGATGCCAGGTAATCGATGTGATACGTCAAAACACATACCACTCATTTAGTCGTCCAATTATGGTGCCAGATGCCGGCAGCACTGGCGCACTTCTTTGGAATAGAATTGGAAAAAGTGTGTGTCGTATGGACCGTCTCCTATTGACGTTCTCCCTCCACCCCCTACAGATGCCCGCCGGTGTGTCCCGTCGGACCGACTCCCGTGAGCAGCTGGCGGCGCCCCCAGCACCGGAGAACGGCTCGTCCCGCGTGGCGCCGCCGCCGCCGCCCGTATCAACGCCCAAAAAGGTACGGCGAGGCAGTTTATTGAGGCTGGCGAATGGTGTATGAAAAACCGTCTCAAAAGGGATTGGTAAACTGAACTACACCACGCATCTCGTTGCAGCCACTCAGTGTAGTTGTTTAAACTAATAAAAGTATTAACGCTGCGGCCCGTATTGCGCTGTATGTCAGCTTCTTGGTTAAATTTGTCGTGCCTTTTCAAAGCAGGGAGGAGTTACTTGCCGCTATCCCCTCCGGTTTTTCACCGTCTTTACAGAGCTCTGACGTCCCGTCCAATAACGAAACAGACTCTTTTTGGGATGAGCCGAACTGCATAATACGGTCCTGGTACCTAACAATACTGACCCATCTCTAATTCCATATCTTTCTAGCGGGAGCTGAACCGCACCAGTACCGCTCTGGTTCTCACAATGCCCCGTCGCGCCGAGGAGCCGGCCGGCGGCGCGGGGCCCTCCTCGGCCGTGCCCGAGTCTCTACTGCGACTGCGGAGATCCACCGCAGGCTGTGGGCCCACAGCTGACGCCCTCCGTGACCTGATGCAGCTTCTGCAGAGGCCCGGAGGCCAGCAGGGCAGCACGTCCAAGTTCTGCAGCATCCTGTGACAGCGACTGGAGCAGCGAGGAGTGGCGGAGGAGGAGCTGAGGGAAGCGGAGGAGATTGAAGAGGAGTAGCAATAGTGGATGGGTGTGGGGAGTTGTGGTGAGCCGTGAGGTAGCGCGGGACTAGTGCCTGAATCCCACGCCGGCTAATGGGGCAGAGAGGTGTGTTTTGGTGGGTTGGGTGTTGCGATTTCTGCGGAAAGGGAACTAATAACACTGGAGAATTTGCGTGTCGGTATTTGAGGAAGAACACTCTGTTCTTTTCACAGCTATAGTTTGACAGTCGCCGCTGCTGTCAAAGTTTGGAATTGATTCTAGTCAATGATACACATAACTTACGATGAAAAATCTTACGTGAGCCATATGGATGAAAACGCAAAACTAGCTCGTCAACTATGTCTGCGTGATGCGTCGTTACTTTTATTTGAACTTAGTTGCTCCTTGACTGCGTATGCCATCGTTTTATTGTGACATGTTTTACAAAGCTAAGTAGCTCTCTTACGTCGTGCAATAATATCAATGTGTAATGTTGTAATTGATATTAGCAGTCATTTTCGGAGCTGCTTTGTGCTATGAGTTTTTTTATCATTTCTTACTTCCTTTTAGTTTTGAGTATGTTTTCTCTTTTTAGTTCTTCTTTACGTGTAAACAGTTCATTTAAACACGTAACCGAATGCTAGTTAGTTTACGTGCGCCGGAAACAAAACAACGGTTACAATTTTGCCGTCACCACACGTATGCCAAAGCTGATAATGAGGGGATCCTATACTCTACAGAGCTAAAACTGAACCTAGTTACGATTCAAATGCGACTGTTATTGACCCTGGACACTGCGCTGCAGCCCTCCCTGCCTTTCAGTGGTGTGTTCCTCATTCTAGGTATATGTCTGTAGAGTAGATGGATCTCATTGTTGCCTAATGTTACCATCAGCCAAGGATTGTGTCAGTTAGCATCACTATAAAATACCGCTAGGTTATGTGTTACCTGTGTAACATGTCACCAATCGGTGGTGCTACCGACTTCACACTCGTATGGGTGTAGATGTTTCCAATTTAATGTCACCACTGGTGTTACGAGCTGGCTTTTGGCGCGTGCTTGATTCCTTTCAGCGAGCACTACAATAAAAGCTCGGCACCCCGTAGTGCAAGAAGAGGATGGAAGATGTGTGTACTGTCGACTTAAGAGTGTCGAACCTTCTGTGATATGCTCCCTGTAGCTTTACATATATTGGTGTGAAGGGTGATTGTGTGTGAGTGAAATGAATTGCCTAGATATTTGCAGCTTGATATGCTGCAAGGACAGTTACGTGAGCACTATTTCCACGAATTTTAAAACGGTAAAATGAGTTATGATCGAGCACAAATGTCTTTTATCATGCATTGGCACGGCACAATTTATTCTCCTGGCATAACTCGAAAAAGCAATATCGATATTAAATGTCGAAAGACTAAATGTCTAGATGAAGTCCCGCTGTGTCCCGAATGTCCCATTACTTGTACCGCTATTAGTTTCGAAAACTGTTCTTTGATGTAATTGAAGTAAGTCATGCGCGTTGTGGAGCCTGCAATGTCTGATAACTAATACCTTTGCCTATAGTCGCCCCCGACTAGTGTAAACGGGGCAACACCATGTGAGTCTGAATCCTGAATGTGTCGATAGGTTGATGTCAAATGTCGATAGCTTGGTGTCCAATGTTTCCTAACAAGTGCCCACCGACTATGTGTTCGTGTCACCTTTCACTGACCGTGCGCTGTTTGTGTTCGTGTCACCTTTCACTGACCGTGCGCTGTTTGTGTGCGTGTCTGTGTGTATATGTCTCAATAAGAGGTGTAAGGTTGAGCCAGAAACCGTCACCGTTATTGAAATAACTTTGTCAACCTGGCAGTCATACGACATTCTTGCGTAAAATATTTTATTAGAATCGGTGCGGCAAATATCATACCCAGCCCCCAGGACGTACATATTGCGGAAGACATATTTTCTCTCCAACTAATCTCAAACCTATCTGGCCAAATTTCGCAGTCGGACAGCTGACCACAAGCTGTCGTCTTACCGCTGAATGCAGAGACAGCGTTTGCGCCTGTGTGCATGTCTCGCTTGGGGTCCATACGCTTAGGGAGATGTCTCGTGCAGCACCCTTAGCGTGCACCTGCGGTGTTACCGATTATTGTGAGAGTGATAAACTATAAATGACCGATGAAACTCGTTGGACGGAAGCCGAGACCAATGATATCTTCTTAAATCATTTTAGAAAATATGGACTAGATTTACGGTACGGTTGTTTTTCCTCCGTTTTGCAGTGTCATATTTTGTTTGCTTGCATTACCTTGGGTCGCATAATATCGCTTCGGTACCTGCTACATCAAAACTAGTGATGTCAATTACGGAAAATCGGAATACCGATACCAAACCAAATACCAACCAAAACCACGGGAAAATGCCGAAACCAAACCAACTTGGGAACATGAGGAAAATACCAACTTTTTACCGATTTCTTAGCCTCTTAAACATTAGCGAGGGTTCATGATACCAACAAAATACCAAACACATTAGGATTGAAATACCAAATACCGAGTTGGTATCGGTTTGGTATCGGTATACCAAAAAGTTGGTATCCGATTGACATCTCTAATCAAAACTACGTCACAAATCCCAAACTATGTAAATCGTTAGTTCTTTTGAGTTGTAGCGGTTGGACATCTGCGACAAGCCGGACCATTTTGTTCCCATTAATGTAACAATAGTTACATTAGAACCCTTCTGAAACAATAGAACCCTTCTGTCCTCATTTCTGTTTATCACAGTGATCAAGGTATTTTCATACCGAAAGCTTTGAATGTTTAAATATACATTTGACCTGTTATTGTTATCATTTAACCCCGCCCGGCTGGGGGTCCTGGATTTCCACGCCCTGCTGGGGGGGGTGTTTGAACACCCCCCCTTGTAACTCGGCTCCTGGGCCACGTAGCGATACGCGGAAGGCGGCGTTCGAAAGATCGTCAAAAATAATGACGAAATCACTCGGTCAATTTTTAGGTCAGGTCAAAGTTCAGGTCACCAGAGGTCATTGAAGGCAAAATTTCGCCGATTTCCAGGTCGAATGTCGAAAATTTCCAAGAAGCCAACGCATAACTCGGGAACCAATAGAGCTACAGCGCCGCGGAAAAGCGCATTCGATAGCCCTATTAACGCCCTTTCTGAGTAATTCTCTCAGATTTGACCTAACGTCAACGGTTTTGCCTGCAGGGGGCAAAAACTGCAAAAATAGCCGATTTTTTCGGAAACAGTTTTTCTGCAATAACTTTTGACCCAAGCCTTGTACGAGCTTACTTTTACCGGCATCGTGTTCCTCTCGTCAAGACGCATCGAATGAACTATAACTTGACCTTGAAAGGTCAACTTGAAAATTTGACCTCAGGTCAAGGTCATGACCTGACCGGAAAGGGTCATGTTGCATATCAGTCAATCCGTATCGTCGAGCTGAACACATCTAAGGCGTTTTCATCGCTCTAGCACGCCTCTATCAAAAGTTATTTGCGAAAAACTGTTAGATAACATTCGTGACCTAAGATGACCTCAGGGCATAAACAAGGGTCCCGGACACCATTTTCATGTTCTGTGTGTCTAAACCACTTGTAATTCGGTGTTTGGGAGTGTTTATAATGTCCTTCGTCCAAAAGAGGCGCATTTCAATTTTCTCCCATTGACTTATAATGGGGAGGTCGCAAAATTGACCTGACCTTAGGTCATCGATATCAAAATTCTGAGATATACATTTTGTACATGCTATTGCTCTTAGCAATCGCTGAAAGTTTCAAAGCGATCGGTCACTTGGTGTAGCTATGACAGACATTGAAACTTTTTATGAGGTGAGGTCACTTCAAGTGACCTGGTGACCTGACCTTGAATGACCTTGGTCTGAAATTTTCACAACATGTGTAGAATTGATGTATGATAAGGTGTACCAAAAACGGCGGCGCTCCGCGCCGCCGTTTTTGAGATATTCGCGAAAAACCACAAGGGGGGGTGTTCAAACACCCCCCCGCAGGGCGCGGGTTAATCGACCAAACCGTGTAGCGTATGTATAACCTCGGTGGGCCGCGCAATGAATGTAGAGATGAGATGTTCCTTGTCCATAAAACTCCTTGTGTGAACCGTTTGTTTCTGATCGCCTGTATAACCTGAACACCTGCTTTGAGTGTGTAACATTGCGAGAAGTGATGGTATGCGTACCTAGCTGTTCTGAGCCTGTTGCCTGCTGATGCCCACGTAATAATGTAATCGGTGACTGAGAAACCCTTTTACAAATAAAAACAATTGATGGCGGCCACTTGTCTCGTGTCTCTCGAAAATGATTGCTAATTTTCATTCATTTTTCGGTAAGCATAGCGGCATATTACCTAATACTGAGAACTGATTTAACCCGCACCCCATCCAGCGTAAGGCTGTAAGCCGCGTACTTGGAGTGGTTTTGTAATGTAGTTTTCTTATCCTGAGCCTGCTTACTCATTGAACTGTTAGGTACTGCTGTTCGTGAGGGAGGGTGGCTAAAAAGTGGTTTTAGTAGTATTATGGTATATGTGCCGGGTATGGAGAGACAAAAAAGACTGTACATGGCACATGCCTATTGTGCAGCATTAGGATCAATATTTTCCTGCCATATGACACATTCCGAATTGCGCCCACACAAAATGCTCCATGGCATGGGCCATTTAGGGCTATGTCAAGATATCGAGGCTTTCAATGTTATTGTATACCTAATGTTATAAAAAGTGTTTTTTTCAATAATTCGTGTTAGAAGCCGGAGTTTGACCCCAGAAGGTCTGAGGGGCCCGTACCTACACTGACGAAAAAAGACATTCAGGGGAACATTATCGCCCTTGCCAGTAAAAGGGCTAACTTTGCATAGTTCTCCGCGCCCCGCTGGGGGGGGGGCAGAATCTGTCCCCCCTCCCGTTTTTCGCCAATAACTTCTAAACGCGTTACGCCAGCGACGTCAAACTTTCAGTACCTTATCATACATCAATTTGACACGTTCCCTGAAAACTTGAGCGAAATCCGTCGGAAATTTTTTGAGAAATTGACGTTTTAGTGACGTCATGTTCGCATTTTCGCCTCAAAAATGGCAAAATTTCAAACGCCGCTAACATCTTCATTTTTAAAGGAATCAAGACGTAACAAAAAGGTTATACGTGATTCTACTTTGTCCATCAAATGGCTATCTCGGTTTTTAAAAATTTTGGATTTTGGCCCACATTTTTTCAAAAAAACTGATTTTTTTGGGAAAATATTTATAAAATCCAAAATTTTGAGTGT